TTTACCGGGGTGGCCGTAGGCCTAAAATGTTGTAGTGTAATATAGGCATGTAAAACTTAATTGGTTTGAAAAGAAATCTTGCGCACGAACGAAATTATATATTATAGTAATTGAAAGGTAAAGGAAATGATATATAAGATATATAAATACTCGACTTTTTGAGGGAAAAAACGTACATACTTGTTATAAAACAGACAATATCTCATATCATAATAAAAATATCTTTGAACTGACTTAGTCCAACATGAACAACTTTTTCCCAACAAACATATATACGATGCAATTATTATGTTAGTTTCTTGAAATTTTTTAGTGTATCACAATATATCTCTTGTTTTGCCCTTAATTTGAGAGCTATATTTGGTTAAGGATCATCAATTTAATATATATTTTTATCAAATAATTATATTACATTATAGATACACATTATTTTACAGATATTAAATCTTGAATATTCTTATCGAAATTCTCGATTCTTTAACGTCAACACCAATAGTCAAGAACTCCAACGTACATGTGTTGATTTAGTCATGCCCATTAATTAGGCCATTACCAAGTCGTATAATTAAGTATCCTTCAAAATTAAAAAATAATAAACTTCTAATTAGGGTTGACTTGAATATTAATCATGTTAGAATGAGAGAATATATTGACTATGACCTAGTTCTTTTATTTCTTAACAATTAATATTCAAATTTACTAAAATAAGAGAATTATTGAACTTGTCTACGAGCTGTTACGAAGCGTCATTATTTTAGATTGAATGTATCATATAAAATTTATCTTTCTATTAATTTCTGCAAATTTAACAAGAAAAAAAAATATATGATTTGAAACGATGAACCAATCATACTATAGTAGTAGATGTACATTGCTAACGCTACGCAAAATTTTGTATAAATATTTATTTGTATGTGATTGATTCAATGTAAACATTCGATGAATTTATTTTTCTGCCCAAAATTTTGTGTGCTGCCCAAATTAAAATGTTTTATTCTGCCGACATAGAGCTTTAGCAATATAATAATGATGTGGACTCAAATTCAAGAAACAAATTAAACACGTGGTTAATTTATGCATTTAAGTGAGGCGATATTTTCTCCGTCACAAAATAAGTGATGATTGAATAGGTATGAAATAAAAAAATTATTATAATTTCTTTGTTTTGGGGGCCGCTTCGCGCCGCTTTTGAAAGGTAAGAATGACTTTCTGAAATTCTTTCTAATCTTTTCTATCTATCTTTAGAAGAACGTAAAATTATACTGCATAGTTAGATAAAAATATATTTTTTATGTATATATATTACATATTGACACTCCTCGACTTCTACACAATTTAACTTCTTTATATTTTGACAATCCTTAGTTGAAATTCTAGCACCGCCATTGGTAACATGCGTTAGATATTTTTATAATTATAAATTATTTCAACGAGTATATAATTAAAAAGTTTAAGATTAAATAAGTTTGCAAAATTGCTCAATTTCAAAGAGTATTCAAGCGGAAAATTGATTCATTTTCTTTTGTTTTGAAACAATCGTATGAAAAAAGGATAGTTTTGAGCTATTTGAATAGTTGAAGGAAATCTTTTTAGCTTGTTAACTTACAATGGCGAGGAACTTTTTAGCAAAAGACGTAAAGAAGGATAAAAATTGACTTATTTTAAATAATTTAAGGATATTTTTTAACTCTTTTTCTTCTGTTTACTTATAAAGTGAAACAAAAAGCTTGCAGAGGTTATTTATCTCTATGAAGATAAGTGTGTGTTGAATCCTTTACAAATAGTATACTTTTAAAAGATCCAATATAAATATGATAATATTTTTGAAGAGTCTAATATCGACGTAGATTTATCTATCTATCTATATAGCCACAACATTTGCATGTTCCTAAAATAATATAAAATAAATATAATGTGCTCTTTGAACTTTTATGTGGCTTGGCAGCAAGTGGCATGCAGAAATCACCCATGAAAAAAAAGAAGCTCTTTTGAGCTTTGATTTCTTTTGATTTAAATTATGTGGTCCAAAGTACATTGGT